ATTTAAAAATATTAAATTAAATTTAAAAATATTAAATTAAATAAAAAAGTTTATATATATAAATTTTTAAATTAATTTAATTTAATAATTTAATTTAAAAAAATATATTAATTTAAATATTTATATATATATATATATATATATATATATAAATTAAATAATTTTAAAATTATATATATTTAAAAAATAAAATTAAATATATAATAAATTTTAAATATTAATATATATAAAAATTAATTATTTTTTTTATTTTTTTTTAATATTTTTTTTAATATTTTTTTTAATATTTTTTTTAATATTTTTTTTTTTATTTTTTTATATTTTAATTTTTTTTTATATATTTTAATTTTTTTTTATATAATATTCTTTTTTTTTATAATTTTTTTTTTTTATAATTTATTTTTTTTTATATATATATATATATATATTTTTAAAAAATAATTAATTTTTTTTAATTTTATTTTATTTTATTTTATTTTATTTTATTTTATTTTATTTTATTTTATTTTATTTTATTTTATTTTATTTTATTTTATTTTATTTTATTTTATTTTATTTTTTTATATATTATTAAATTTTTATTATTAATATAAATATTATTATATATATATAATTTTTTTATTTTAATTAATTAAAAAATTAATTATTTTTTTTATAATTTTAATATATAAAATAAATCTTTTTTTATTTTTTTTTATTATATATATATCAATTTATTATTTATTATTTTTAATTTTTTTATTTATTTTTTTTATTTTTAAATATTAATTATTTATTCAGTTATATAAAACTTTTTTATATATTAAACTATACTTTTTATTACCTTTTCTATTAATATATATATAGTTTAGAAATTTATTGAGCTGTAGGTACGGCTTGACATAGAATAATGGGATAGGGTACCTGTAGGTATAGGAGGGAAGCTTACCTATATGGGTGATAATAGATTCTCTATCCTTCGTTTGCGGGTTTTGTGTGATAGTTGTTTAGCCTCCTCCGTTGGCTCTAGCGATAATAGAGACATAAAGATGATGCCCACTCATAAGCATGTAAAAGAGATGGCTGCAGCCGTGATGGATAGGCGCCATTAAGTCCATATGTAATGCTACGCTGTAGTGGGCGGTGCCCGCTTTGTTAAGCAAAGACAACGTTTATATCCGCTTCGGCACCGCGATCTTTATACTGGCTGAATGGTATGTATAATTCTCGAATATGCTTTTCAGTGATTCCCATAGTAATTTGTCGGTATAGCTGAATATTGATCGCGTGTCCCTACACGCTTACTGTTGCCTTTTTGAGTATCGAGGTCAAGCGATTCGACTCCCAAAGTTGTCTATCAGCGGAAAATAGACAATAGCTCTGAGCGCTGTCTTTTCGTTCCGTCTCTAGATTGCGTAGCCGCTCGCGTCGTAGCAGGGCTGCGAATCTGCGAATCCAGCCAAGATATAAATAAGCAACTGAACCTAGCCGTGCCGGCAAGAAACCGGACTACATAGAATTCTCGATTTGTTCTTCGTTTGGCCTTATGGGTGCGCACAATATTTAAAAAATAATAGTTTATACAATCGACACTTTATAGACTATTACCCCTGAATATGTTAATAGACCGCTCTATGTGAAAACAGCTCCCTGTGCTTATGCTTTTATCGATAACAAAACAACTCTACCCCAGTCTTCTAAATCAACTCCACTAGAGTTGATCAAACCCTTGCCATTGTAGGCACCTAGAGAACGGCAGTGGAAGATGGACAGTGGGGAGGGGAAGGATGGTAGTAAACTCAGAATAGCGTGTAAGAGTGACAAAATTGAGCAGCGAGTTTCACTAGAGGGTACAGCGCGTGTAAACGAGTGATAGTTGCACGTGCGATGGAGAGATATTGGCGCCTTAGAGTGATTTACCCAGGATACCTTGCTGCATAGAGATGCCCTCAGCCAGCTCCGACGCAGTAGTTGGCTATTAATATCTAACCCTGGTTCTTAAGCGATAATGATTGAACTGCAGTCTCGAGTGCTGCTCGGTCTGCGCCACGAATTCTGTCCACCAAACCCTTATCAGTGAAGGTCACAGAGCAGCCGGGCTTTGTGTCTTCCACAGATACTCCTTGAGGCACACCATCCCGAAAGAACAGAAAGGTTGGCATCGCTGAGATATTGTATCGCTGGGCGACATTTTTGACATGGTCGACGTTAACCTTGACGAAAGCGAGATGACCATTCGAAGAGTGATCCTCTGCTAATTTTGAAAAGATAGGCGCAATAGCGCGACACGGAGGACACCAGTCCGCATAGAAGTCAACCACTACATAAGTGGTAGAGGAGAGAAGAGCATCAAGTTCGGCGGCTTCGATTATTTTGAAGACTCTTTTTGAGGTTTCGGGAATAGGTGAGCGGTCTCTGAATACGATCTATTGTTACCAGTTAATATCACCAACAAGATTCGGCTTAGCCTTGATGCATAAAGCAGGAAATATAAAGAAGATTGATGAACGACGAGGACGACGGGTCTTTGAAAGATGACCCATGAAAATCTTTGATGACAAGAGCTAGAAAAGTGCTAGACGACTTACTGGCCAGATAAAAATAATAAAAGCAATCAACAGAAGTACATACGACAGAGTCTCCATTTTACACAGCAATCGGGCAGTCCGGTAAGGGGAGATGCGCTGGGGGTAGTTAAGTTAGCAGGAGCAGTATGGTCTTGACGCAGAGTAAGGCGAAGGAAGGAAAGTAGGGATAGGATGAATACGTGCCAGACCACGTGACCCGCCTTCTCGCGACTGTTTCTGAGGCTTGTGATTGGCAATGTACGTTGTACAAATACATGGCTGAAGTGCAATTGATGCCTAATTTTACACATGTGACCATCTTTCTGCCTAACTAAATCTCTATTAATACCTCATCTATCGACAGAACAATTAACTTGAACATAATTACACTTTAACACTGATTATTCTTTACTTTTACCTAGCATTAACAAACATCGAGCATCTCCAAAAAGCTACCATAAAGCCATACGTGACATAATTGCAAAATGACGGTTAGTATTATATATCAGCTGTGATTAGATATTATATAGTACTATAACTAAGATTGTTAATTTGGTTAGGATATTTGCCAAGTCGGAACGCAAATCAATTATTGTGGTGCTTTCTGGACAGTTATTGCGATTCTCACTGGAGCGGGCGCCAATGAACTCTGGGCAGTAATTAAGAACGGCCTTGGGCAGCAACAGACAATTCCAATGGCTACTGCAAATGCCGCCAAGGTGGCTTGAGAAGGTTTTAAAAGAAGTACTTCTTACCTGAAAATGGGGCTTATTGCAGGCTTTCTATCTATACTCCGTACTCCATACAGACCTGTATAGAATATGGAATATAAAATGTACTTTGGATGGAAAGTATTCTATACGTATGGAATACTAAAAAAATGACGTTATATATTTTTGCAGTGACTTGGTCGTAAACGCTTGCCGTTTACTCATTTGATTATTATCCTCTATACCTTCTTCTGAATCCTCTATCTCCTCGCTTTCGTCCCCTTTACTTAAATTTACAGAGATACCTTATATATTTTTGCTTTTAATCTAACTCTTTATATATTTACCCCTTTTAATTATATAATTTCCCAGCTGGTATCTATCCTATGATATTATGCGCTGAACCTTAGAAAAGATACGCTTTGGCTTGGCAGATATAGCTGGTATGGAAAGTATATTAACGGCCGTATGGGAAAGATGTAGGTATGTTTGTTGCTGCTCCTCTCGAAGCCACTATACAAGCGGCAAACAGTTAATATATATAGGGGGCTGTATAATAAAAGACTGGTATTATCCAGCTTATTTATAGCTGGGCTAATAACATTAAGTATATAAATAAGTAAATTATATTTATTAAGCTGCTATATTTAATCTTTAAGTTATAGTATTATTAATATAAGTAATGGTTTTTTTAATAATTTTCTTAATATTTTTAAATATTTTTAAAAATTAATTTATATTATAATTTAAGTTAGTTGTTTTTAATATAAACTAAATACTATAATAAGTAAAGTATAATAAACTATAAACTTATGGAGGTTAAATTTAATATCAAGATGAGAGGTTCAATGCTAAACTATAATAATATAAATTATTATTTCTGAAAAATAAACTTAAATTTTAGTTTATATTAATAAACAAATTAAGTTAAATAATTACGTAATATAAATATTATATTTATAATTAATTATTTAATTATTTAAATAAATATACAAATATAATTTATATATTAAATTATTATTTTTAAAGTAATTAAAAATAATAATTATTATTTATTATTTTTTTATAAAAGTAATTATTATAACTTAACTATAATATTTTAATTTTTATTTTTAATATAAAGTAAAGGTTCCTAAAGTAATAAACTTAAGTTATAAGTTTATATTAATTAAAAAAACAAAAAGTAATTTTTAAGTAATTATAATTATAAATATATAAAAGTAAAATAAAAAATATAACTTATATTTAATGTTAATATTTTATTAATAATTAATTATTTAAACTATTTAAATAATTATAATAAAATTAATTTATATATTTAACTATTTTTTTAAAAATAATATAGTTTATTATTTTATTATAATATAAAATACTTATATAAATTATTTTAAGTTTAAAATTATTATATTTTATTACTTTTATTTTTAATTAACGTTTTAATTTATAATATTTTTAAATATATACTTTTTAAAATTATATAAAAAGTTAAATTATAATATAATATTTTTTTTATTAATTTTATTTTTAAAATTTAATAAAAATTTATATTTAATTAAGTAATAGTATATAATTTAAATAAATATAATATTTTTTTAATACTTTTAGTAATATATGTAAATTTAAAATAATATTTTATAAATAATATAAAAACTTTTTTTTTATTTAATATATATTAATTTTAAAAACTATAATAAATATATTATATATTTATTATTATTATTTTAAATTATTTTATATTATTTTAAAAAAAAGATTTATTATAAAAATTATATTAAAGTAAAAAAGTTTTATAATAATATTTTCATTATAAATATTTATAAATATTTTTTTTATTTTAATTTTTATTAATAATAATTAATTTTTTATATTAAAAAAAATAATAATTTAAAATTATTTTTTAAAATATATAAACAAAAAAAAATATTTTAATTTTTTAAATATTTAATTAATAAAATTAAAAATTTAATTAATTAAAATAATTAATTATTTATTATATATTTATAAACTATATTAAAAAATTAAAAAATAAAATAAAAAGTTATTATATTATAATATAATTAAAGTAAATATAAAAGTAATTATAAAATAATTAATAATATAAAATTTATAATAAATAAAAGTTTTTAATAATGTTAATTAATTTTTCTTAAATATTAATTTAAAATTTTTAAATTTAAGTTTTTTTATATTATTAAAAAAAACTTTTTTATTTTTTTTATTTTTAATTTAATATTTTTAATTAATATTTAATATAATTTAAATATTGATATATTTTATACTTTTAAATAAAGTTTTTAAATATTAAAAATTTGATATATAAATAAAAGTAATAAAAAGCTTTTAAAATAATTAAAGTAAAAATTTAAATATAAACTTTAATAGTTTAAAAAAAAGCTAAAGATTTTATTTTTTAAAGTTAAACTCTTAAATAGTTATTTATATATATAAAATATAGTTAATTTACTGTTTATTTAATTAATTAATTTATTTAAAGTTTTTATTATTATTCTTTTACTTTTATAATTATAATATTTATATTTATTATATTTAATAATAATTAAAAATATTAAATATATTAATAAAAAAAGGCTTTTATAAATTATTAATAGTTATTTTCTATATTAAAAAAAGAATTCTTTTAATTGTTTTTTTTTAATATTTTTAATAAAGTTATATATTATTTATATTAATATAATGTAAATAAATATTTATTTAATTATTCAATTTAACTATAAAGTAAATTATTTATTAATTATTATAATTAAAGTTTTAATTTTTTTTTAGGTTAGACTTTGTATATATAAATAAATATTATAACGTTATAATTTCTTTTTTTAATTATAAAAGTATTATTAATTAAATTAAATTATAAATTAATTTTAGATTTTAAACTAAAAGCTAAAGTATAGCTTTTTATTAAACTAACTGTTATAGCATTAAATTTTTTATGTTAATATTAAATTTAACCTCTATAGTAGTATTTAGCAATATAAATATAATTATATCTTTTGCAAAGCTAATACCTAGTATCTCAAGTGTAGCACTAAATAATAAAAAAGGTACTACCTTAAGCTATGGAACTTAATAAAGAGTTAAATGGCTATAGTATTGATATATCTTGTAAAACAGTGTAGATTTGGGACTAGCTATAGATCGGGCCATTGGGCTACGCTAGCAGAAGCGTATATGGCTATGCTGCGAAAGTATCATAGCCCTCGGTTGGAAGTATAGCCAACGTACCTCGGCTTATCTTAAAGGAAAAGAGTAAGTTCCTTTGCATTCCAATTAGATGTACAAATATCCCTTTTGACACTTGATAGATTCTACCAATAGCTGCTAGTTAGCTGTTGCAGAAAGGGGCCGGGATCGGGTTGTTAATCGCTCCGGTCCCGCTTTCTTTCATATCGTACACAAACCACAAAGAAAAGATATATACAGACGTAAATGGGATCTTTCCAAACCCACCTTAACTTTCCAGCCCAGACCAAACTTCATTATCTCTTTTCACGATAATACCTTCACTATTTATCTTGTGCCGTCTATAGAAGTCCAGCCACAATAGTCCCGGAAACTATCATCTCGGCTATTCCAAGAGTTGTTAGCATTGCTCTCGAGGTCAATATCAGCCCCGATTACGGCCTGCAGTACACGTTCTGGCAAACAAGACCAGCACATCCAAATTTGTGTATCCTGGGTACCGCTACCGCTACCGGTATGTCGTCAACAACAGGCCGGTTGTCAGCGCCATCGTCGAAAGCCTCCGTACCGTATGTGGCAATAACTTCTACCTCTCATCTTTGGTGTTGTACTGACTCCTGTATAAATGTGTAGACACTCAAAGGGTCCGACCGTTCAGGTCGATTTCGGAGGTCAAAAGGTTGATGTCCCCAAAGACGGCTACTACGACCGGTACCGCATGAACCCAGACTTAAAAGAGGTAGCTCGTGATCCGGCAGTCGGCCTCAACATTGACTTTTTCACAAGCATCCCAAAAAGGCTGGTCAATTCGAGGGGTGGCCCAACATACGCTCCGAACTTCTACTATCGCACCTCGAGTGTCCAACTCGTCTTCCTCGCACCTCTTGACCGCTTAAGATCCAAGCTTCCGTCTCCCTTGGAGCCCATCACGGCCCTGCCTGGTTACGGTTTGGTCGTAGTGACGTTCTACTCGTACCTTGTCTGCGACAATGATCCTTATAACGAGGTCTCGATTGCCATCGTCGTCCGTCAGCCAGGTCAAAATAGCTATAGCACGACCCAACTGCTCTACTCGATGTGGAATCGAATATTTTACGGATATGTAGTAGCTTTACCTGTCAATACTGACATTGCTCGAGTGCGTGGCGTATATGGATATCAGTTTCCAAAATGGCTCGCCAACATCGACATGGGGATGGATGACCACACCATCAAGGCTGATCTCTCCGCGACTGATGGGACACTCGATTTGACATTGGAAGCCCCCCTCCCGGCCCTGAAGAACATCACATCGCAATCTTCGATCGTAACCAACTACGCGATCAACAAGATCGACAGCGAATGGAACCAGGTAAAAGTCCTGACCAACCCACTCCTAGGGGCACAATGCCTCTTTCCCAAGAATGTCGTGCTCTCTCGGGGCAAAGGTCCTGTGAGTTCACTCCTCAGCGAGCTGGGCATTTCGACTCTTCTACGGATGGACGTCCTCAAGGATGCGCAGATGGTCTTGCACATGCCACAACTATTGAACACGTCGGACAATGTCAAGCTTTGAAGGTCACCATGCAGGCCAGGTGTCATCGGGTTTGTTGTCATGCCAGGTCTGTTACCGAGCTGTAGAACAGAGTTTCTTAGTCTAATTATTATTATTACTTGGTTTTACGTAGAATTTGAGCTGTACGTATTATTCTGGGAGCTATATTTGGCTGTAGATAGTTAGAGCTACGTTACGGCAGTGTAAGCAAACACTGAGCTGTGAGCCCTACTTGCTCTGGATAACCTGCAAAGTGATCGGAACCAGCAAAGTGGACGTTAACTCTAGATCCGGACAGAGCGCAATTTTTTTTTCAGCTATTCGGGTCTGCTTATATGAGGATCGTATTTTTGAAGAAGTCTTACACGTGTCATTGGAGATGCCCAATCTTTGTACCAATATACACCATTCGTCCCTGTATCATAATTGGGAATTCTTTCTTTTCTTAGTACTATGAAGAATTCCAATATCTAGATAGTTTTTAGGTAAGTTTTGGGAACCCGTATCCCTAATATTCAAGGTGGTCCTCCCTATATTTACTCTGTAAGGATAAAGGATAAAGGGTTATGGTTAGATAATTCCTCAGTCGTGGTCCCTAATCCTTAGGAAGTTTTTTTTAGAACGCGAGGGCCACATTAGCAAGGGCAGCCGATGGATACGCTAGAGAGCATGGAATTCACGCCAACTGTGAATTTATGTTTATACCTTATCTTTGCTGTCGAAGGTACAAGTCGGTTAGCTGCACCTTATCGGTTCCGGATCGATCCTTGATCCGACCGGCTGGTAATCCAGCATTCGATAGCATTGATGCAAAGTGGCAAGTCGAAGAGGCTATAATAGACGTGAGAGAGTTGTATAATTTAGATCTAACTGGAATCTTAACCATCAAGTACACTTCCCTCTTCTACCTTCCACGATCTAATGGAGATGCCTCGGTCCTCTTCATATTCCGCTCTGCTCACTAGGCCGCAGTTCTGAGACTTAGTCGAATAGGTTCCCGCTTGCCCGAATCGTTCTAGCTCCGGGCGCGGCTTTGTACTCGTAGTTCTACGGAGAATCGGAAGAGATGGTCTCTACGGAGTAGAAAGGAGCGACTTTGAAGAACCCCCTCCGATTCCGCTCCTACGCATCTAACATGGGACAAGTCGCCGAGGTAGCAATGTTTGTGGGTTGAATCTCGGCAGGTCTTAGATCTAAATTACGGCGGTGGGAACCATAGTATTATAGCTCGGAAATTGATGAATTCCGCTGCCGTCCTGCTAGTCACAACGGAGGCGCTGGATGTCCCCGAGTCCGCCAGGCTTTCTAGAGCGGAGCTTCTGTCCTGGGTGATCATCAGGCATGCTACGGGCATGCTAAGAATGAAGGTTTAGTACGACGGGCACATTTTGGCTCATATATCCACAAAACACTTGACAACATCACCACGTAATTAACCACTTCATTTATTTAGTCCCATACGATTTCATTTGGAACCACGACAAGAGAAGTGTTGGATTTGCGACAAGAGAAAACATTTGTCATCATGCCCAAACGTATCGTACTCGTTGTTACCCACGCCAAACAATACGAGGACCCGTCTCACCCCACCGAGCTATGGCTCTCTGAGCTCACACACATATAGCACGTCTTCAAAGACCATGAGTTCGAACAAACCATCGTCAGCCCCCCAGGCAGTCTCTGTCCCCTCGAGTCTCGCTCCCTACAGTTCCCGAATCACAACAAGACGGCCAAAACTTGGCTCGCTGATCTAGTATGCATGGCACTGCTGGAACACACTGCCAAGCTGGAGGATCTCGAGTCTGCTAAGTTTGACGCAATCTTCTTCATGGGTGGTCATGCAGTAATATTTGATTTCCTGGATAGTGAGGGTTTGCAGAAGATTACCAAGTTACGGCTTACAGCACCCCGATGATGACCCAGTTCCGTTTGAAAACGCAAGCGTGCTCATCTTGTCAGTAGTGTTTAGAATGCCATCTTGCTTCCCAGCAACCTGGCTCGGTGTGCTACAGTAGCTTGGCATAACATCCATAGCAGGATTATTGCTAAAGAAGTTGCGGGGTCGGAGCAATAGCGTGATTGGTTCGACGGGCATAATAGGGAAGTCCTCTGGGGCCGGGATATGCGTGACACCAAAGGTATGCCAGAACACAATGTCAGTGTCAACAACAGACTCGGTGCCGTCACCGATCCATTGGGGGATGCCCATCGATGGCTCTCCTGAAGTCTGCGGGACGTGGCAGCCAGCGGGCCACAGCTGGTCATCAGAGTCTAAACTCTTCGAATCAGTCTAATTGCGCATGAATAATGGGAGTTTTCTAAAGGACTCCGTTTGGACTTACACTTAGTGACGTGCACAGCGTGGCGGGCAAAGCCAGCTCGCTTCCACACAAGACTATCCTTCTGGGGTAGAAGCCCCGGTACTTCTCGACTCACTAGCTTATACGACACAGGCTTCTTACTGTAAGGATGTAGCTTTGACTCATTGACGATCTCCCATGTCCTGCTCGTCGCTCCATTATAATCGGTCATGGCCTTACCAGTTGTGTCAAGCTTAGTCTTCTTCGCATAGAAGGCATTGCCATAGAAGTTATCCTCACTTCCAACAGGAGCCTCACTAGGCACCGTATCCACCATATTAACCGTGTTATTATGCCCATCTATCATAGGGTCTATACGCAAGCAGAATAGATGCTGGTGGTTATGAGCGTTAACTCCAGGATAGACTTGGGTACCCCATGGGCCGGCGTCTTCATCGACGTTCATGGCGTATGTATTGAGGATACCGGTGAGTTTGATCTCGGGCTGGATGGTGCCATCTTGATGGAAGATCCACTGACAAGAATATTCGTAGTTGGCCGCGGTGAAGATTTGCTGAATGATGAGCTTTCTAGCACGCGTAACAATGACAGAGTCATCGCGAAAATCTGTGTGCTTGAAGAGAATCCCGGCATCTTCCTCGTGAATACAGATCGCATTCTTAATAGTGCGGATAGAGCCATCACGAGTAGGGAAGTCGGCGTCGAGATAATAAATTGACCCCTTGCAGTCACAGCCTAGAGAAAGGGAGTTGGTCATGTAGCCTGCACCATATTCCCCCAGGTCAAAGGCGTGCTTGCGCTGGTGGGGATGTTCTGGGTTTCCACTGCGATTTCTGTTAGCCCGAGGTAGTAAGTGGAAAGGGGAAAGGTTGACTACTTACTAAGGCACCACCATCTCGGCGAGTGACAGACGGTAGAAGATTGGCCTGCGGTTTCCCTTATCATTATATGTGATATTGTTCAACACAATACCCTCTCGGTAATTGAATCCAATATGAAACTTCCAGTTTTGCCACTCTAGCTCTCTGCCATCCATTTTGAACGAGACGCCCTTGGGTTGCGTAATGTTAATAGGCTTCAAGTCTGTCCTATATCCACCGGCCATAGCTACAGCCTTAGGCGTGTAGTCAATTGGAACAGCTTTGCTAAGAGGTCGGCGAATCTTGGGAACGTCAATGTCAATAATAGCTCGCTTGTTAGCGTCATAGATTGGACAGAAATCCAGCGGGTACTGGTACTGGCAGGTATCGACATCAGGACGGTAGTACATAAGAGCTTGCTGCAGACGGACATTATTGCCGTAGCGCTCATCATAGCCAATCGTCCACGGGTCACAGTAGACCTTTTGCATATCGGACTTAGGGATGCCGGAGATTTCACACTGCTCAATGACCTTGGGATCTGTTCGGCAGATATGCTCAACAATCTGAAGATCCTCCATCGTGAGCTATCATATTGGTTAGTGGAAGGGTCATATAAATGGCGACTAATAAGAAAAACACTTACAATAGGTTGAACCCCCTCCATAAGCTCCAATTTTATAATAATTCCGCTCTTGATATCTACAAGACCATCATAGACCTTGCCGCCCTGAATAATCACGACTACATTGGCCACACGCGCCGGACGTAGTGACTCGCTGGCCGGAGAGTGCGCACTCTCCAGCCATTTCAGCATTTCGGCTTTGCGTGGCTCGTGCAGCGAGACGACGTTGAAGAAGCATTCGCCATGGTGCTTGCGGACTGCGGCGATGGCGATGGCAATCTCGTCTGTGGAAAGAGGATCTAGCGGGTGCGGAAGCCGCGATTTAATTATGGAGACCATTATTGCTGGAGAGAGGTAGATAGAAGGCGGGGTGACTAGGTAGCTGACTGAGAGTGATGCTTCGCCAACAAGAAAGCTTGCCTTTATCTTGGAGACTGAGGGTTGCAAGTATTAGCAGGCTGCTGTGATATTTCCATGCAACTGACTGTATGAATGGACAAAGCGGCAGGTCCCCGCATCAATGCCTTAGTTTTGATGTCACGTACTTATAGGACTTTAGCTCTTGATGCAAGTTGAGAGTTTATCACGCTGAAATGGAGTCCTGATAAGAAACAGATTCGACGAATCACCGTGGCCCATTCCGCGTAAGGTTTTGCTGTCCCATGCTATGCCATTGCCATTCTTTCGGCATTGGCAATGAATGCACTTTGATGAAACCTGTTCCGTTTCCGAGTGAGGTGGCAGCACCTCCAAACTCTCGACTATCCATCGCGCCATCCCACGCTTTCTCATCAGGCTATGGATACACCCCAGAACTTGCCCCGAAGTATATTGAAATCATTAGATTCAGGACAAGCCAAGCCCCGAATGCGCTCAAGCTGTGGCCTGTCGGAGTCGGACTGCAGATTCCGATAGCCCAAGAGAGCGATTTCTGTTTAATGCTTCTCCGCATTTCGGAGCTGATAACGGCCATTGGATCTCGGGTAGTGCTTAGGCATGGAAGGGTGGAAATGGAGGGGAAGAGGGGCGAAAGATTATTAGTGGACTCTCCTAGATCTCAATTTGCAATTGGAGAGCCACCAACTGATAAGGATCTCGAAGCACCGAGTCAGAACACACTGCGACCCCGAATCATTCCGGCACTGTCCATGATTATCACAAGATCGCGAAAACTTGGCTTATTTGCACTGACTTTAAAGTAATAAACGAAAACGGACTCTTCAACTATTGGAGGCGCGTTTATTGGAAGAGCGTGAGCCTATTTGTGCGAAGGCATCAAAGAAAATGTTACACCTGGTTGAGATGAGTTTATTCGTACGAACCTGTACCAGTTGCTTATGGGACGTGTATTATTAGTCATGGACGGTTAGGCTGTATATATAATTGCGAATGAACTGCATTGATGTGATTTAGAAACTGTCGGCTGTCTTGACAAGATCGGCCATTCTATTGATATCAACCAGGTGCTAACCATGTCCAAATTGCTTCAGGATCGGATGAGAGCGCGTAACCCTGGCTCTCTCCAGAATAAGAAATGCACGGAGTAGAATCATATATCAGCACAGCTTATGACCAGGATAACTAGTCTTGAGAAACACCAAATATAAACACACACGCTCTGGAAAATTTCATCACAGAGTATACATACGCCGTGTCAGGATATTAACCAACCACAATTTTTAGCCAGGACAAGTTGGACGGGAGATCATATCCTCTCACGGCCATCGGCGACATGAACAGCGCGGTAGATTTTAGCGAAGATGCGCCAGATATTTTTGGATATGAAACTCGCACTATAGCCGCCGTGAACTTCAAAGACGGCAAAGTTGCGCGATGGGTGGACTACTGGGATGGGCGACATGACGGGCTTATTGCATTGAAAAGCCCTTGTGACAAGTTCCCTAAGACATTTGGGGAATTCAACATAACGACACCGAATCCTGTGATACATAATATTACTTCCCAGCTTAACGACGCCCTTTCGACTGGCAACAGCATTGCCGCCGCGTCGTTATTTTCATTCGATGCTATCTTTGAAGATCGCATCACGCTGACTGGAATAGAAGGTCAGAACATCATACAACAATACTTTTTTCGAGCACTGACCAGTGCACCTTACGGTAACGGTACTAATACCGTTCGACACGTTGTAGGCTCCTCGAGGGGTGGTACTTACGAGTGGATGGGCTCCCCTACGGCGCCTACTCGGAACGGCATATCGGGATTCCAGCTAGACTCTAATGGCAGCACTACAATATTCTCTACTGTGTGGGGTTCCTCGTAGGTAAAAAATTCAACTATAGAGATGTTTGTTTAGTTTGCCGTCCAACTATAATGGTATAGGTTGGAAGCTGAGTAAAACTTACTAATATCCTAGTGCAAATGTGTTTTACATTACTCTAGAAGAGAGAGCCCTGGGATCTTTTTATAGAGGCTGTCCATATAGTCTTACTCTTGCAAAGTTTCCGCATAATAGGGGCATTAGGCATGCCTTTAGTACCATAGACCATTTGGGTACCGGTTACAGATGGCGTGTCAACAACATTGCCAATGTTTGAGTTCTTCAGACGCAATAGACTTATACTAGCTGCTACCATACAAATACCATCGCTCAACAGAAAATAAAGACTTTCCTTTCGAGATATGGCCCCAATTTGTATGTTTATGAAATGAATGGCAGTGTACATGCCGAGCCGATAACAGTGTCAAGTCTGTGCAGGTAGCTTAGGTCGCTGTATTCATCTTCATCGGCTTCAAGGTCTCGCTGTGACCACACCATTTCAAGGCCCGCTCTTATACGCATGAGGCTGCTGTCGTTGTGTTTTGCCCCGGTCTTATAGATAAGTTCGAGTAAGAGCATTCGTTCCTCATCATTGCGTGCTTCAGAACCAAGTATCAGGAGCGGGAAAGATCGCTGGCACGTGTTGAGCTTTCTGATGAGGTAAAATCCGCGATCGATCAAGCCGTCGAGCTGATGATCTAGAATAAAAGAACTTGCTGATCCATTAAAAAGGTAGATGAGAGTTGCGAGCTGATATAGCTCTGCTATAACGTCTTCTCCCTCATCTGACTCTGTTATAGTAGTCTTAGGCACAGGGTTGTTGATAAGTGTACTCTCTAGTGAGCGAAGTCGATTTTGGTACTCAGTGGCCTGAGCTCGGGGATCATGGGGCTCAACGAGAATATCGCATACGGCGGCAATAGGTTCCAAAACTGTACGAATTGGGGTGGGGCGATTCAGTAACTATAGCAGCAGAGTCAGTCCAGGCCACCTTGACGTTGGCGATTGTGTATGTGATAAATGTGCCTGTCGTGCTCGGTTGTACTTACCAAGGGAGATTTCCCACGACTCAGAGAGATTTTGTCTGTAGTCGAATGTGGCAATGTGGAAGGATGGCGCCAATGTCGCATGACAAACCACGACATAATGTCCAAGTAGTAAATCCAATCTAGAACAGGGTTGAGCTCGGCTTGATCTGATCGTTCGTCAAGACCTGTGGTTTGGACGATGTGCTTGGCACCGTCAACATAAAGCACCCATTGGCCTGAAGACTCGGAGTGATGCTGGGTCTCAAAAGTGGCCAAAAGCATGCAGGTAGCAGCATGCTGTGCAGACTCCAAGGCACCTGGGTGTCCAGATTTGGCCGACTCCGCCAGGGCGTTGATGGCAGCGATCTTATACCCGAGAGCTAAATCCCGCAGACCGTCACGGTGCAGCGAAGATACGGCTAGAAGTGATGATTTGAGCGCGAAAGTGGGGAGTGTGCTGCTAGAAACAGTCATACGAAGCAAGAGATTTCGCAGACGACCGGCATCGACCCCCAAAACGGACAGCGTGGAGTAAGACACGTTGGCAACTGCACGAGAAGGAAATCAGCAATAGTGGCCCAAGGGTCGAGTGGATTTCGAGAACAATAGGCTTACAATAGTCTACTAGCTCCAGAGTGTTGGAGTCAGGATTGCCTGGAGACCAGGGCAGAGATGGTGGAGGGAAGACGAAGCGGGCTGGCTGTCTCTCATCTGAATGCGCGAGCCGCGAAATCGTGTCAGCTCTCAGCCCGCTTTGGACTTCTACGACGTCATTGACTACAATTGTGAAAAGAAACTTGCATTTTCCATTTCGAAGCTTTCGAAGATAGTGATACATGTCGATGTCTCTGGATGATGTGTGTATCAACATCAATGTCGAGCGGCGTTTTGCGATTCCTTGTGCCAGGAGCGAGCGCGTGCTTGGCATGGCTACCATGGCTCTTTTGGAATCACTAGTTCGTGGCCATGAGAGTCGCACGCCATAGCCCAAACATTCCCGATTAGACCTGATGCATTTCGAACAGCTGGGGACTTGGCGGTCGCAGGCAATCCGGCGATCTGCATGTCAGTTGCATTCGGGGTCTCCTGTCAGTATATCCATCTTAAAGCACTAATGGAAAGGGTTGAAGCTTTACCTACCCTTGCAAGTCCAACATCCCCTTCTAGTCTTTTTCTGCTGGTCAGTTGCATGCGACGCCATATAGTTTGAGTGTGGCTGGGATACGTGAGTCAACTTTTTGCGAAGCTGAGGTTTAAGCGGAGGGGAAAGTATGCGCAGAAGAAAGTAGTAGATAGCTAAGCGAGGAACTGGCACTGCGGTGCAAAAGATGTCTAGTGAAACTCCGACAAGTTTGGTTCCCCATCATCAGCTCAATCAGGAAGGGCGGGCTCGGGCTTCCCCGGGCTTAGCATAAACCCGATGAAAGCCCCCAGTCGATCTTAGATAGAAGACCAATCAAGGAGCTAGATCGGAACCAGCCGAATCCACCAGGGCAACTTTCCACGAGCTTTGAGATTCCACTTTGTCCTCGGCGCGGGGTTGCAACTGATGCCCTAGTTCAAGACAACCATGCACCTGAAACAAAGGCCTTGCAACTCCGCCGTCTAGCAACTATCCGCGAGAATGCTGTCCATTCCAAGTGGCTGAAACTCCATGTATCTCGGTGGAAGGTGCTAGATATTCACCACAGCCAACAATCGGTGCCAAAGCTGTGGATCACGCGATGTGTTGGGCAATGTATAAAACGCGATGCTTACCCGTTCATATCCTACGTATAGATGACCACCACGATCAACAACGCTAGATTGATTGTACTTGAAGCACCTATTTCTCACTAGCTCTCGTAAATAGCTGTCGACATGGCCTCTTATCTTGTTACTGGCGCTTCGCGAGGCATTGGAGTACGTATCTGCTAGGCACCTACGATTGTCTTAAGTATCAACTGACAGTGTCCTGATATTCTTAAAGTTTGAGTTCGTTCGGCAGCTATCCACAGATGCCAATAACATTGTTATTGCTGTGGTCCGCGACAAAGAGGCAACAGAGAGGAAGATAGCCGCGGAGATTACTGCCTCCAATATCACTGTTGTCCAGGCTGACATAACCAATATCGAAGAGCTTCAAGCCGCTGTCGCCATCGTATCCAAGATAACCAATGATTCACTTGACTACATCATTGCCAACGCAGGCAAAATCTCAGACTGGTCCGGCATGGACGATGTCCAGGATCTAGGCTTGGCGGACCCTAAGCTTCTAGAAGAAGACATGTTAGACCTATTCCGCATAAATGTTGTTGGTAACGCGCATCTATTTAATCTTGTTGTTCCGCTTGTCCGGAAAGGCACCGCGAAAAAGGTCATTGCCATCTCGTCAGGCTTGGCTGAGCCAACCATGACCACCAAGTGGAAGCTGACTCTCGGTTACCCTTACGTGGTCAGCAAAGGGGCTCTGAACACGCTCATTACAAAATTCCAAGCGCAGTATATTGATGAAGGAATCCTTTTTCTTGCTGTATGCCCAGGGACAGTCGACACGGGCCACTTGCTCAATCCTAACGAAAAGCAGCAAAACAATCTCATGGCTATGGGAGCAGCGTTTCAGAAGTATCAGCCCAACTTCACAGGGCCTGTACTGCCCTCGGAAGCAGTCACAGACGTGCTCAAGGTTGTGTATAATGCTACCATTGAGAAAGATGCTGGAGGATTTGTGTCGCATTTGGGTAACCAGCAGTGGTTATAAAGATACAAGAGAAAATATAGCTGGTTACGACTCACTTATTCATAATTGTAACAACAGGCCTATAGGCTAATACAACTCCCATTTTTCCACAGGCCAAGATTCTAATCAGCTAAAAAGTGAGTTTTTTTTTTTTTTTTTTAAAAAAAAAAAAAAAAAAAAAAAAAAAAAAAAAAAAAAAAAGATCCCTGATTATACAAATGCAATAAGCCATGGGTTGGTATAGAATATTTTAATTAGTTTTATCTAATAATTAATTACATTTAAATGTATTTACGTATTGAGAGACAGAACGCTAATACCTTTACATGCGACTAGCAGCAGCCGAGTAAACCCATCTTCTAAGTCTGAAGAGGACATGTAACCTTGCTCCCATAGATTGAGGAGCTCTTTATATGAGAGCATTGGATTATCACACCGCTGGGGAGGCCAAAGTGACGAGGCTTGGGAAAGGTACCTCTCTTGGATTCCAAGGTAATTTCGTCTTCTCAAGCTCGCTGGAGCAGATACCATTAGAGACTCAAGCTCTGATACTAATGGACAAACCCCATATGTAACTACCGCATAGGTAGCTCGCACGAAGTAAGAAATTAGAATAGTACGATGCGCGCTTTCAAGCTCATCGTCTCGGATTGGCGCGGAATCAACGCTGCAATACCGAGGCTGGCTCGCTTGCCCGTTCGTGCGTTCCCAAGCGCTGACCTCAGGTCTTGGAAGTGCTGAGAAATCCGAGATCGAGAGATTCTGTATATTCCAGTCCATTTTACGGTAGAGTTTGTGCATCTGCTCCTGCAGCGAGATCTTCCAAGCTGCTAGCAGTGGCTCATGTTGCGCGGCTTGACTTTTCTGCTTGGCATCACCGCCAAAACAGGCAATGATATGATACAGCGTCATAGCTTGCACTCGAGCAAGTTCTCTCCTGAAGAACCGCAAATCATCTTCCAGAGTAAGACAATTGTCGAGATCACACAATGTTGGTACATTAGTTGCTGATAGTGCGGTTTCTCGTGGAACATAACAAATCAGATTGTCAATCCCAGCCTCAATAAGCTTACTGAGAACTAGGCGACCTGGCCCAGTAAGCGTCTCGTGAGCAGCACATACTCCCAATGCAGCAGCCAGAGGGGACTGTAGCTTGTAGGGCGCGATGAAGTCGGTGGATGCAGTCTTTGCAAATGTGCCAATGTAGGAGACCATTATGCTAGCGCAGAATGTCCACCTATTTGCATCATACAATATAGGCACAAAGCACAAGTCGGCTAGCAACGATTGATCTTACTGTATGTCAGTGGGTCGACTAAGAAATTGGCGAAAGTTGTCTAATGTGGTCGTGACATGGCGACTCGATACTGCTGGCCGATACTGGTCTAGAATGGATGTTGATCTGGGTCTGAAATCCTCGTTGATGGCAGGCCGGAACTGTTCGAATTGGGTACTATCATGAGCACCGGTTTCCACAAACGACTCTAGGCCTCCAATGCCCAGCGGCGAAATCTGACGAAGTGTTGCGCCTGGTATCAGTGTAAGGTTCGATTCAGGACCTAGTATGTCCCAAGAATTATCCCACGTAAAATTGTCGATAATGGAATCGGAGATTGGTGTGTCGTCATACGGCAGGGCAGGTCCCGCATGACTATATGGCACAGAAGCCACAGGCAGTAACGGGTATTGACAAGCTCGATGCTGTTTGGTGCAGCGACTACATGCTGGTAGCAACTGATCGCATCGTCGCTTTGAAGTGACGCAAGCTATACACGCCTTTTTCCTGAGAGACATTGAGCGACAATGTCTGAGTTCCGATAAATGATGGCAACATAATCTAGGAAGCGGCGGAAGCGCGACAGCGACTTTGGGTCGATTTCTGTTCCTACGTCCCATTATTAATGCAGATCAAGGTAGCCCCACCAACCGATTCATTGCAAAGCTTCAGGTGCAAGAAAGCCCATGGTGGGCGTACGAATACGAATCCTGTACGCTATTACCATAGGTGGTACGAACTGTAGCAAAGTTCAAGTGCATACCGCTTATAGGGCTATAAGAGCTTCAAATTATTACTCCTCTGACATGTATTGTATTTGCCTTCAGCCGTCTATTTCTTCATCCTTGCAAACGCATCTCGCGTGCTGCTCAACCCAGTGACGCCTAGGTCTTCCTTGGAGAGAATAACATCTTCACCCGAGAAACTTCTATCCTCAGCCCACTCGAGGTATTCATGCATCCTGTCCATCGCTTTACCCCACTGTGGCCAGAGGCTATAATATGTCTCCTTGGCTACCTGCACATACTCCGCCTCGAAGCCGTGCACCAATGCCCACGTGGAAAGGATCTCTTCAGCCGTCATAACATCAGTGACGCCATGAACAAATTTTCCGCCGAGTGTCTTGTCGGGTTGCTGAATAATTGCTCGCACGAAGAGGCCAACATTGACGGTCGCATCACCAACAAGCGGGAATTTGACCGATGCTGGGGTTGGTTGTGTTGAAGTATGTGTGTAAATGAACAAGACGAATAAATGTGTTATTGTATTGTAAAGGAATAAATTAACCGACGTTATAGGACGTCTAATATAATTTATATTTGCTAATAAGGTTTATTAATAAACTATAATTAATACTATTCCTTTTAATATACCCTTAGAATTAAATAAAATAATTTAATAATATAAATATATATATAAATAAAAGAATATAAATTTAAATATTAATAACTATTAACTAACCTTAAATTAATAATATATTTTTAAAAGGTTAGCTAAAGGAGTGCTTTAATATATACGTTAGCTATATTATCAGCTGTTAAAATATATTGTATATTAAATAATATACTGTAATATTATTAAATAAAATAAAAATAAAGAGTAATATATTATAATTTAAATATAATATAGTTGTTATATATAAGATTAATTGCTGAAGTGTTATTGTATTATAATATAAGATAATAGGTAATAACGTTAATATTTATTAAAATATCTATTAATAGTTGTTTAGTTTATAATAGTTAAAATATTACTTTTAAATAAATTATATATTTAGCTTTATGTATTAAATAAATAACGGTTATCTATTTTTAAATAATTATATAATAATAATATTGTTTAACTAAATAATATATATGTTAATAGATTTAGTTATATTAAGGTTAATATTATAAAATATATTAACGTATACTTTTAAATATATAATAATATTATTTATCTTCTTTAAGCGTAAGTATTTTAAAATACAGTTTAGTATATAGCTAATATACTATATTATTTATTTTATATTTATTATATATTATCTATTTAGGTTAATATTATAAAATAATAATATAAAAATAGGAAAAGATAAATTTAAATAAGTTTTAGTAATTAAAAAGTTAATAAAGCCTAACGTTTATTAGTATTTACTAAAGTTAATATATTTATTATTTAATGTTAAGCATTAGTAAAACATACCAGCATTTAATAGTATATTATAGCTTTTATAATTAAATATATTAAAATATCTTAAGATATATTTTATATAGTTAAACTAATTAATCTTAATAAACAATATTATTTATATAATTTTAAGGCTTAATAAATAGCGATATAGCCTAAGGTCTTTATATTTAAAATATATAAATAAATTAATTTTAAAAAATAAAATATTTTAGTTTTCGCCTATAATAATAATATCGTTAATATATACTGCAATAATTAAATTTTATTATTAAAATATATATAAATTAAATAGCAATAGTATTATACCTATATTTTCTATTAATTGTTTAAGTATATTAAACTATTTATAACTAAATTATTTAAGTTTATATAATACTTTTATAAAATGTAAAATAATAAATTAATTAAGTTAAGTTTATTATTTATATTTATTAAGGTATAATATATAAACCTTATATATTAATCTACTGTTTAAGTAAGCGGTTTTTATATTTATTTAATATAAATTTTACTTTTGTAAGGCAGTAAGATAAATTATAAAATAAAAGGAATTATAATAAATTATAAAGCTATATATTTTATTATAATTAAGACTATATATTTAAGTAAAACTATAGGTAATAAGTTAAGCTTTATAATAGATTAGGAGTTTTTATATATTGTATTTTTTTATAAATATTTATTATAAAGTAATAATAAGTTTATTTTTTAATAATAGCGTTTTTTCCTAAATGCCTTTAAATATTAACGCCGTTAGTTTAGCGTTAACAGCCTATTGCTAATATTTGGTTTTATTAAACGCTAGTATTTAATATAATATTATAAAAATATTATTATTAATAGTTATTATAGCTATAGTAACTTTAGGTTTATTTTTATTATATAAAGTAAATTAAGTAAAATATTAACAGCTAAAATATATTATTTTAAAAAATAATAATTAAGGGGTTATTAGTTAATATTAACAGTTTAAGCAATACTACAGTATTAAGATTTATAATAAAAAGGGTTAATATATTAGTAATATAAGTTAAGTAATATTAACGTTAAGTAATATAGTTTATTTAAGTAATAAAGATAATAATAAAAAAGGTATATTATTAATAGTTAATGTAACGTTTTGATCCCTTTTACTAATATAGAGTGAGGGTTCTTAAGGTAATAAACCTAAGTTATAGGTTTATATTAATAGAAAGGACAGAAAGTAGTTTTTAAGCAGTTATAATTATAAATATATAAAAGTAAAATAAAAAGTATAATTTATATTTAGTTTTAATATTTTATTAACGATTAATTATTTAATTATTTAAATAATTATAATAAAATAAATTTATATATTTAGTTATTTTTTTATTTTTACTTAGGCTTATATTATTATATTTATAAAAATAAAGCTATTTTTATAATTCTTATAGTATATACTTACGTAAAAAAAAAAAACTAAGCTTTTATTAATTATATTTACCTATAGTTTTACTATAGTATATACTTCTATTAATTTAGGTTATAATATAATATCCCCTTTTATTAATTTTACTTTTAAGACCTATATATAAAATACTATTTAATTTTATAATAGCCTAGTTTTATAAGTTTTTCTTTCCTTTATGTTTATTATACCTAAGGGTATTATTAAATAATATTCTTTTAGTTTAAAAAGTAAGTTAAATTATTATAATACAGCAGTTTTAATAATTAAAACTATTAAATTTCTTATTATACTTTATTTTTACTATAAAGCTAATAAACTGCTTTATAAAATAATAATTAGATATTTAAGGTATAAGAAATATACTTATTATAATTATATTTATAATAAAAATAGAATTTTATTAGTTAATAGTAAGTAATTTTTTATTATTTTTTTTTTTTTATAATATTTATATTAATTCTATAATATAATATTTAACTATTAAAAAAAAATATATAAATATAAAAAAGCATTAA